ACTACCATTTCTCAAAATCTTAAATAAATGACAAATAAAACATGTATAATTATAATCATAATTTTATGTATACTCACATGTGTTTTAGTTACTTTACCGAATTTAGTAAATATGACTTCCAGTAGTTGTTCATCAATCACAGGATCCAAATTACTTACAAACAAAGAAAGGTTATTCGATTGTATATGATGATTTTCTTCACGCATTCGTTGCAGATCATTTTGACGTTCAGATTTTTTTTGAAAAGGACCAACATACAACTGTTTGCCATCTTCTAATATATGTCCATTTAAATTCATCATTGCCTATTAGAAAGTAAAACAATTATATAAAATAAACTCTATATTATCAATTCACATGTTGTGCCATTTCTGGTCGTTCAAAATTAACAAAACCAAATCCTCTAGATTGACCGTTATTATCTGTTTGAATCTGTCGACATAACAAGAGAATAATTATGATTTTAATTAATATAATTTTACTACATACTTTACAGCTTGTTATAGTACCATAGGTACTAAATAATCGACATAATTTTGTTTCATTCATATCCTTACTAAAATTTTTTATATATAAATTCGTGAAATTTGATCGTATTTTATTCACTGCTGAATTATCGTAATTACAGCTTGACATACTTGTCTATAAGAAGAAAAAACGAAAACAATACATGAAACTTGCAAAAACATGGCATTGTGACCTTTATTACTCTCCATAACAATTAGAGTAAAAAGCAACAGAATGCTTTTAAGAAACTGCTGCTAGATTTTTTTCTGCCTGTAGATTCTTATTTAAGATGACTGACTGCATGAAGGGCAACAATCACCCTATTGCTTTCAAATCGCTTGGTTGTGTTGACAAATTTTTCTTTTTCTCCTTCTTCCACTCGACACATTAGTCATGATTAAAAGCAGCCATTGCATCTTAGCACCTGAGCATCATTTCGAGTGGGAAAAAAAAATTGCTGATATACTGAGAATGTCACGGCTGCACATGTAAAATTTATTTTTGAAAAATTCGACGGCTTTTAGAAGGTATAAACATGTGAAAAACGCTTATTAATAGTTAATAATTCCTGTATCTGGTGATGCATGATTCAATCTTAAAACGACAATTAATATCTTAGATATGATATGCAGAATATAGACTTTATTTATCATCCTGTGTGACTTAAATTTATCTTTGACGAAATTTCAAATGTCTAGACAACTTTTTTGTCTGGTTTATATCCATCAAAGAAAGAGCGATGATCATTTATCAATAGAGAGAAAACAATTGATAAATTATTTTTCATTTATATCTAGCATTAGTATTGTGCCAAGAGTATACTAAAAAAGAATTCATATTAGAATCTGTTTCAATAAGAAGAAAAAATCTTCATTCTCTAACTGATTCATTTTAAAATTCGATTTACAAATGTACATCTAACAAACGAATAGCATTCGAAAGAGTATCATCCGTGCAATATTTATTATTTTAATTTTATTCTATAAATTACGAAACAAAAAGAAACTTGATCACAATATTAAATATAAACTTTTAGAATGTTTAATATTTATTGATAATCATTTATTTATAAGAATAAGGATATAATTAAAGCAAACTTTGTATGCTGACAATTGTAGCATATGGGAATATGTTCGGCCATATTCAGGCTCATGAAGTCAGTCGCTTTCTCTACTAGAGCTGTGCTCGAGTAGCAGTCTAGATTTTTTTTTTTTTTATACAACATTCTATTGACACTGCAAGAGAGTATGAAAACTACAAACATCCGACGATCGATTTAGAGTGGTGTGGTGATTGAATAAAAACAAAGATGAAAAATTGTCAATAAAGAACAGTTGCATGGAGTTAATAATTCGAATGAGACAACAAGATTTTTTTAAAATATGCAATACAATCAAATTTATTTCAACTTAATAAAAAATAACACTTATTCTCTTTCTGAATTATACATATAAATCAAAATTTTTTCTAGATTCAACTATTTGTTCAAGTTTAACTTTGCCGTCTTGTGACAAAGAACAATTTTGTAACCAAAATGTAGTTAATGTTCGATTGAATTCAAACATTTGAACAAGAAAACTAATACTACAATCACTTATTAATTTATTTTCATTTAAATATAATTGAATCAGAGTTTCATTATCAGATTGAAGTACATTTGCTAATGATTGTACACCATCATCACTTATATCATTATATGAAAGCCATAAATCAGTTAAAATTCTATTTTTTTTTAACATATCAGCTATACAATGCACACCCTTATCTTCAATAAAATTGTGATCAAGAC